ACTAGTCCCATGCACGGTAGCTCCTCCTCACCCTTCAGTCAGCTGTCACGTGGTATCCGCCGCAAGCATGCGAGCTTCCATCATTAGAGACGACATTGAGAAGATGGGGGTGTGTCTTCTCCACGCCCTCCCGCCCCAAGACGCGTCATCGACGGACTCATCTTCGGATCCACGCATCACCGAACTTCTCGACGCCTACAGCGACGTGTTCGAAGGCCCGCACGGAGTAGTATCGGATCGACCCATCCACCACGAGATCATCCTCGAGGACGGGGCCGTACCTCCACGCGGTTGCATCTACCGAATGAGTGAGGAAGAGCTAAGTGTGCTTCGGGCACAACTCAACGACCTTCTGGAGAAAGGCTGGATTCGGCCTAGCTCATCGCCATACTGTGCTCCTGTTCTCTTCGTCCAGAAGAAGAACAAGGATTTGCGGTTGTGCATCGATTATCGCAAGCTCAACACGCAGACGATCAGAAACGCCGACCCTCTCCCACGCATCGACGATCTTCTCGAGCGACTGGGCGGCGCCAAGTTCTTCTCCAAGCTCGATCTCAAGTCGGAATATCACCAACTCGAGATTCGCAAGGAGGATCACTACAAGACCGCGTTTAAGACGGGATATGGGCATTTCGAATGGCTGGTCATGCCATTTGGCCTTACGAATGCCCCAGCCACTTTCCAAGCGGCTATGACAACGGAGTTCCGACACATGCTGGAACGCTACGTGCTTATCTACCTCGACGACATCCTGGTGTACAACCGGAGTTTGGAGGAGCATGTGGAACACCTGCGCACCGTTTTGGAGCGGCTACGTCAAACCAAGTACAAAGCCAACCACGACAAGTGCGAATTCGCGCGGCAGGAGCTAGAGTACTTCGGACACTATGTGACGCCGAAAGGCATCCGTCCGCTTGCGGACAAGATTGAGGCCCTACGAGTATGGCCCGAGCCCACCAACACCACGGACGTTCGTTCATTCATGGGGTTGGCGGGCTACTATCAGCGATTCATCACCGGATGCTCCAGGATTGCTGCACCTATGACGAGGTTACAGTCGCCAAAGGTGCCATTCGTATTCGATGACGACGCACGCCGGTCATTCCAAGCACTTAAGACGGCTATGCTTATGGCACCCGTCCTTAGCATCTATGACCCCACACTGCCGACGAGAGTGACTACGGACGCTTTCGACTATGGCATTGGGGCAGTCTTGGAACAGCACGACGGCTACGACTGGCACCCTGTGGAGTCAGCCACAAAGTGCCTCCCATCAACTCGCTTGATGATGCAACGAAGAAGGAGCTGCTCGCATTCGTCATGGCTCTCAAGCGATGGCGGCACTTCCTCCTTGGGCGTCGTAGGTTCACATGGGTTACGAACAACAATCCATTGACCTACTACAAGACGCAGGATATGGTGAGCCGCACGATCGGACGATGGATGTACTTCATCGACCAGCTTGACTTCACACCGAAACATCTTCCCGGCCTCTCAAATCACGCAGCAGATGCACTCTCGCGGAGACCTGATCTTTGCGCTATGACACATCATGCCTTCGCATTCGACGAGGAGCTTCAGCGACACTTCATCCGGGCATATGAGTCTGATCTGGACTTCGCCATGTTGTATGCACAGATATCTTCGGATCACCCGCCGACCAGCCACTATCCCATTGCCGATGGGTACTTGCTCCTCCACTCGAGAGGCAAGGACTTACTATGTGTCCCACGCGACCGCCGTCTTCGGACTCGCCTCCTCGGCGGGTATCATGATTCACGACTCGCCAGCCATTTAGGAGTCAACCGCACTATTGCACGGCTTCGACAGCGATTCCGATGGCCCGACCTCATTACCGATGTCACTCAGTATTGCGACTCTTGCGAAGTTTGCCGACGCAGCAAGCTCCGCAACCGCAATCCCTACGGCGAGTTACGCCCGATGCCTATCCCACGGGAACCCGGGCTCTCCATTGCCATGGACGTCACCGGTCCGTTCCCTCGCGACCGGCTCGGGCACGACGGCATCCTCACGGTTGTGGACCGATTGAGTAAGTAAGCGCGTTTTCTTCCTTGCAAGTACTACTCCACGGCTCCCGAGCTGGCACGCCTCCTGCACACTAGTTGGATTTGTGGCCACGGTGTACCAGAAGACATAGTCAGCGACCGCGACACCCACTTCATGTCGGCATTTTGGACTGCTCTCATGCAGGAGTCCGGCACGAAGATGAAACCAAGTTCGGCTCGGCACCCACAGACGGACAGGCAAACGGAGCGGGCACATCAAACCGCTCAAATGATGCTTCGTACGCTCATCCGTCCGGACCAGAAAAATTGGGTTGACCGCCTCCCCGACATCGAGTTCGCCTACAACACTTCGGTGCATCCGGCGATCGACGTGACTCCATTCGAGTTGCACCACGGTGGACGGAAAGGCCGGATCTTTGCCGACCTTCTCCTCCCTCGACCAGCCGACATTGACGCTGCCTGCTCTCCCGCTTCCGTCCGGAAGTACAGGGAATTGCTGACTCAAGCCCGCGCGAACATGCAAAAGGCTCAAGTCCGCATGCAGCAGCAAGCCAACAGGCATCGCGTACCATGTCCCATCCACGCCGGTGATCTGGTTTGGGTCTCCGCGGAAGAGTTTGCACTGGAACAGGATGTTTCACGCAAACTGCTTCCCAAGTGGTTTGGACCTTGGTCTGTGACAGCAGCCGCGGGCGATGAGCCCGATGGCCCTTCATTTGTGATCAACATTCCCGAGCACGGTCCATCCAGTCATTCCAAAGCTGGCAACATATACACCAGCTAAGAGCGACGACTTCCCGGGCCGACGATCGCAGGACCCTCCTTCTATGGATGGTCATCAGGAGGTTGACCGCGTCATCTCGGATCGCAAGTACAGCAGCAAGCCGCGACAGTACAAAGTTACATTCAGAGCATGCAATCCCGACGACACTCGGTGGATTTCAGTAGCAGATTTGAAAGCATCCGAACCGCTGATCTACGCTCACTACGAGCGTCAAAGGTTAGCCAAGGGACCCCCACGACCTGCCCCTCCCACCCGGACTGTGTTCCCTCCCTCGGACAGACAACTTCGCCCTCGCAGGTAAGCTCGGTCTTTCAAGGAGAGGGGGGGGTGGCATACTGCGTAGCCACACGGGCCCTGCAGGGCCCGTCCCGCACTTTCAGCCTAAAAGCCTAAAACGTAGGGCTTACAGGCCCCGGTCGTTGCAGCCTGAAAGCTGAAAAACGAGGGCCTACAGGCCCTACTCCGTTTTCAGCCTATTTCTGGGCCTTTCAGGCCCAGAGGCTTTTCAGCCTGAAACGGAGGGCCATTTTCAGGCCCTCATTGTGTTCGACCTACCTAAGACTCAGGCACAGAAACAGGGTTTCGGGAAYAGGCSAGAAATAGCCTGTTCCCCACGCCAGCTCGAGCAGGAGCTGCAGCTGCAGCCCCTGCCTCCCTTCGGCATTGGCAAGAGCAGCCTCCTGGAYTGCTCGCCTACAGTCAGGAGGCACACCCGGTAGTACATAGTATTGTCCCATGCACTTCACGGGTAGGTAGTTGTCAGTAGGCACAAGAGGTGTCTGGAGGATTCCGCCGCAGCACTCAGGAGGAGCGCTGCAGTAGTCTTCAGCGCTAGGCAGTAGTATTAGCGCTAGTAGTAGTCTTCGGCGCTGGGCGCCCATAGCCATAGCTGTAGTCTTCAGCGCTGGGCGCTATAGGTGGTAGATCGTAGAGTTGGAAGAGATGGTTGGCGGAGGCCAGCGGTACTCACCTGTGGCGCCAGAGCTCCAGCTCCATCTTCGAGGTACCTGCATCAAGGCGCCAACTTCACAGGTTAGTACTGGACACAGAGAGAGAGAGAGAGAGAGTTCTTCTTCCTCCTCTTCTAAGTCCACCATCTCTTCTTACCCTCTCGCCACCTGACTTCTCAGACTACGACAGAGAGAGAAAGAGTTGTGACTTGAGACTTGACGACATTGGATCCAGACTGGACATTTGGGATTCAGACATTTCGACGAGGGACTATTTGGGCCTATGCCAAGACTTGGTGTTGACGACATTCCCATCTTCCCTCCTCTTCGTCTAACCCCTCCTTCTTYGTCTGTGTATGGTTGGGGCTGGCGYAGTCTTCTTGTGTGAAGCGCCAGACCCCCTTCACACCAGATAACGATGATGATGATGTGTGTTCAGGGCTGCATTGCAATATTGATTGTTCGGATCATTAGTATCTAAGTCTTCCGCTGTGTTATCTTKTACTTTGTATTGAGAGGTCGGTTCTTGTTCTGGTCTGCACGTTACAGTATGCAACAGGCTGGGGATGCGCCGCCCCATGGCGCTTCACGAATCCTGAACCCCCCTCCCCACTGGCCGCTATGCGGCCGCAAAGGCCGTGCGGCTGCGCGGACACGTCCGCGGGGTCGCGGCCTAGGCCGCGGCCGCGGACTTGTCTGAGGATGGCCGCCGCCGAGGGGGATTCATAGTACAAAGGTATCCGCCCTGTTTTTTGCAAGTGACAGGAATGTGATTTGAATGGAAAAATTGGGAGCTAGAATGCGTGCGGCCAGGCTTTAGGCGGTTGACGACATGGTTGAATGTACGAGCATGATATAGAGAGTGTGGGGCGCGCAAGTTTGAGGCACGTGTGATTTTTGATGTGTCGCTCACCGACATTTTTGCCGGTGAGTTTACTTTGATTAAATTAGGATTAAAAGATTCTTTCTTCTGGTTGATATGTCTGTTTGTGGCGTGCGTGTGCACGGAGGCGGCATTGCTATGGCCAGCATCAGGTCTGACTACCGGTGCGGCGATTTAAAGGTGACTACCTTGGATTTTTATTTGAGGCGACATTGGAGCTCACGTAGTACGTAGTGTGATAGGGCGCCTCATTGTGTCTACCTGCCAATGAGAATTCTGCCTCAGCCTTGGCGAGGGTGTGCGTAAATGGATTCCAGCAAAGACAAAGAATGAGCTCCGCCGTTTGAAATAGTAGGGGTGCAGCTTGGGAAGAGTGGGCGGTTGCAGGGTAGGCGTTTAGTCGTGGCACGACTTTGGCGTGATGGGTGGTGTGCACGGTGGCCAGGGACGGAACCCGGCCCCGTGCGGCAATTGTGGGAGCTTGGCGGCCGTGGGCTCAGTCGGTAAGCTTAGTTGTGGGCTTGACATGGTTTGGGAGGCCAAGGTGTGGCCTTGGTCGCGTCGGGATACTCCCTATATTCTAGTCTGCACCTGCTAGGCTCAGACATGAACTTAGCATATAGGTTATGACACTCGACGCTCATGCAACAGTTATGGGGATCGAGGCCAACTGGCGACAAAGGAATGAAGGAGCGAGATCAGCGGAGATCGACCGAAGAGTTGAGAGTCCTGCGGGGCTATCCCCTTTGGTTGTGCCGCCAGTCCCGAGCACGGGCCCAACGGGCGGGACCGAGAGAATGCCGACAGTTCCTCTCTCTCCTTCCTTCCTCTATTTTTCTCTTTTGTTTGTTATTATTATTTATTTATTATTTATCAGTGTCGTATTTTGGGGCTGCGCCCGACACCGTTTCCGGGACCGGTGAACTGTTGAAAATGCAGACATGAGTTCAAACCCCACTCTAACCGGATGAGTGAAGTACTGCAATTCTAAATTATCTGGAGCCAGTCAGTTCGATGATGTGATCCCGGGGCTGCGCTCAGCTTTAGTCCTTTGGGACATCTATTAGAATTGGAACGATACAGGGAAGATTATCATGGCCCCTACGCAAGGATGATACTCATAAATCGGGGACAGGCTTTTTATTTCCTTTTCCTTGTACGACTTTGGCGGTAGGCAGTGTTGTGGGACCGTGCACTACATGCGGAGTTGACATCAACATCAAAAAGACGAAGACAAACACGAAAACGAAAGGGAAGGAGGAAAGTGTACGAGGAGAGGGGGGAAACATATATCTCGTCCGTTTCTCAATAAAAACGGGCGAGCAAAGGTGCTACAGCAAGGTTTTGCAGCAGGGCGAGTTGTATGGCAGCCTTGGATTGGCCGTCCAAGAAAGGGATAGAGAGTTAGAAGAAAAAGCGGGTGCGCGGAGGTATGGAGGAGGGGGATATGGCTTAAGCGAAAAAATGGATATCGCACTCGATTGTCGATGGAACCAAGCGAGGGAAGAGGCCAACCCGAAGTTTTTGGCCATCGCGAATGTGAAGGCATTGACAAATTTCGTGTTGGGGGTGCAGATTTGGCAGTGCGATAGTTTTGGGCTGCGCCTAGGAGGAGGAGGTGAAAATGACGATGTATCTTCCCATGTTCTCGCGGAAGATTCATTATCAGTTTGCATATTTGGTGAGCAGCAGAGCATGGCCTGTGGCTGTGCACTTAAGCGCATCGACGTAATCCTCATCTTCGCCAGGTCATGGTCCTCATCATGCGTGATCGTTTCCATCATGGGCGCCCTGAGAGATGGTGAACTATGCTTGATTAAGACGAGGGCTCGCAATGATGCTGACGTGCAGATCGTTCATCGGGCTTGGATACAAGGTGTTCTGAGAGAGAGAGAGAGAGAGAGAGAGAGAGAGAGAGAGAGAGAGAATACTCACCAGCACGTGGCGAATCACATTGGGGCTTCTTTGACTGAGCTCTAGTCGTAATTGCAGTTCGACACATACGGTAACCCATGTGAACCCGGCAGGGAGTTCAGCCAGGTGTATCGAATCACATATGGCAAAGGTGGAGCCGAATATGTGAGAGATCAGCAAGAAGAACGCAGGGCTCGAACTCAACAGGGAAGACATCGAGACAAGAGAGCGGGAATTTTGTATGTATCATCCCGTATGTTAGCGGGATAATCATGCTCATTTTTACGAGTGTATCTTCCCGTATTCTAGCGGAAGATTCACTCTCATTTTGCACATTTAGCGAGTAGTGTAGCGGTTGTGATCACCATTTCCCATCCCCATCGTCGCGAGCCCCATCCTCTATAAGCTCCTAAAACTCGTCGAAGCGCCCGCATTCGAGATGATTGCGTTGACTTAAAATGCCACATGCATCTGGGTGGGGCCTTGACCAGGTTCAGTGGAAATCAAGCGCAAATGGGAGTAAAGCAGGCAGAAGCGAGGTTTAGACGAGGAGAGGAGCAACGATGAGGGGAACATCGGATTGAAGGGAAAGAGTGTGGGCAAGTGAGAGGGATGCTTCACTACCGACCATGATCTGTTGTGGGAGATTAAATCTGAGCACGCATGAGAGGACTGTAAGATGGAGTAAACGTGAGTGGGCGTGCTCGACGTGCTGGAGTAAACGTGAGTGGGCGAGTGAGCTGTTTTTTTCTGTATTCTAGTTGTAGGTTCATTTTCATCTGGTACGTTTGGTGAGTGAAAAGCTCGTGCTCGACGTCCTGGTCCCCGACTGAATGTTGCTCCAGGTGCTCAACCTTATCACTGTGGATTGTCGAGTTCACCTTCTGCATCTTGGTAGTCTGTTTCCTTGTGATCGTCATGATCTGTCGAAGCTCGTTTTTTTGTTCGGAGTCTTTGTGCTCGTAGCATTCTATGGCAATCGTGCAGGGCCGTTCTTAGTTGGTGGAATGATTTGTCCAACAAGGATTGACAAATTGAGAGCTCTTTCTTGACTCTATGAGTAGTGGTGTATGACCAATCTTAGCTGGTGGAATGTTTTGTCTGATTCCGCTAAACGGGTGGGGTCAATGCCACTGTTGAGGCAGGTGTCTTTAAGCGTTGGCTGCTGCTGTGTTTTCAAGTATCGTCACTGTGTTTTTTTAGTGTACCGTTGTGCTTGCTGAAGAGACTGTCGTTGCTGCAGCTCCCTTGGTTTTGTTGGAGTTAGGGAGGTATGTTGCGGCTATTACTGTGGTCTGTTGCTGACATTGAAATGACTCAAGAATTTCGTTATTTTGACTTTTTGAGACCTTGGGTCCT